GCTATGAAATAGAGACAGCAGGGGTGATTGTTATACAAAGTAACAGTCGAACCGAGCACAGAACTGGTTAAATCAGAATGTAAGGGAGCAATGGAAGAATAGCATAGGTGGATGGTGGGGCGAGTGGGTGGTGAGATAGATGGGTGGGTAGATGAATGAATGGGATAAAGGATGGCTATATTAGTATATGAATGGAACTGCTAATATATAAAATCGGGTAAAAACAAATGTCTCGTGATAAGTTGCTTCTCGCTTACTGTCAGCTATAAAAAAAAAAAGACAGTAAGGATGATTGTTATACAAAGTAATCAGTCAAGCCCAAGCGTAAAACTGGTAACAGCCAGAATGTAAAGGAGCGATGGAAGGATAGATGGGAAATGGGCATGTGTGGATGGTGGAGTGAATGGATGAGTGGGTCGTGGGATAGATGGATGGGTAGATGAATGGATGGTAGCACATCGTTGATGAAATCAGCATTGTCCAGGCTTTTCCCCGTTTGCATTGGTGAGTTACTAGCCAGTTGGTCAGCTCTTTCATTAACCTTTACTCCGTCATTTCCATGTGTCTAGATCCAGATAATGGAGATTAACTGTGACTTCTGAATGCTTTATACTCATTTGAAGCACGTTCATGGAGTCTGAAACGGGTACCGCATTTGTGACTTCTTATGGGTCTCCTTTCAATAAACAAGCGGCGTCCGGCTTAGGCGTTGCGAGTCTGACTCGTAATTCAAACAGACCGCGATCGAAACCCACTGCTAGCTGTGTGAATTTTCATCATGGTATGGGGCATCGCAGGTCGACCCTGTCTAAAATGGGTACCAGGATGGCTGTCCTGGGGAAGTAAAGACGTTATGCTGACCACATTACCCACCTAGTGCCGTTTGGTCTGTAAAAAATATGGGGTGCTCTTCCTATATATCCTAAGCGCCTAAAGGCATGAAAAGGGATCTTTACTTACTTTTACTTTACTTTCAATAAACAACACAAGCCGACCTGGTCTCCACAGCTACTTCCTTCCATAACAGTCCCCTTCTCCCCTTTTTTTAGGACTGCAGACTGTAGTATCAATAACTCAAGCATGAGAGAAAACACGTAAAATTCATGGAAACATTGTTCAGCCATACAGCCGTGTCTTCTTATTCTCAAAGTCCATGCCATGTGGCATTGGTAGTCATGTCTATCCGCAACTTTCTGTTTTGTGTACTTTCAGTCAACTCTGACACGGATGATCCTCCATGCCATGATGTCAAACTGTCCAGCATCTTTTCTCTCTGTCTCCCTCTGCATCGCATCCCCTCCAACTTTCCTACTGTCACAATGTACTCCAGTTTTCTCCTTCTCGTCCCATGACAAGAGAATATAGATTGTCTTTTTCTAATGTGTGCATTTCTCTTTGAGTCAGTTTATTTCAATACGTCCTCATTTCTCTTTGTACATGTACAGGGCATTCTCGTTATTCGTCTATAAAACCACATCTCGGCAGCTGCCATTAAAAAAAAATTCAAGTATATTGGGGCACCTCAAAACGGATACAAAGTCACGTGTAGTCCAGTGTGGGTGGGTTTTGGGCTGCAACCAAACTTAAGCCACCTGCTGCAGTTGCCATTTCAATGATCAACAGATGCCGATGTGGTATCCCCAAAAACTTCCCTTCCCCTTCACAAAGCTTTAAGCCACCTGCTGTATTTCACCCGTTCCCCCTTCTCAATGAAAGACTCCACCAGCCAACCAACAACCCTGCCAACAGCGGAAGCCGGTCACGTGACGCCATCTTCAACGTTTGGTGTGCAAGAAAGGAACTGAGCAGCAGTGTTGCCACTTTGGATCTTTTATATCCAAATTTAGATCTTTTTCATTGCATTTAGATACTGTTTTTGGGATTTAGATTGTAAATATTTGTCTAGAAGCTTTTCAATTTCAAACTGTGACCATTTGATCGATTTGTAAAAAAATCTTGGACTAGTTCAATTTGAAAAGTGTGATGTAAAAAGTATAGTTTAGGAACTGAAGGACCTTTTAATCAGCAAACAGTTAGGCTTGAAGAATTTGGCTGTAATTGGTACTGATAATAGCCTCAGTGATGGTTGGTATAAACAATGGCGTTTATGCCAAGTTGAAGGAAGCTAACCCCATCGTTATATACTTATAAAATGTATGCGTCATTCATTGCAGCTAGCATTATCACATACTTCATCTAAATATTTACCAAGGAATTTGGAATACCTTATTTTGCTGAAACACTTTACTGGTTTTCCAAATCATATGTCAGACAACAGCAATACAATACATTATATACGGCCTTGAATGATGGTTCCACACCACCAAAAATTCTGTCAGATTGCAAAACTAGATGGTTATCAAGAGGTTAACCAGCTGTTTGAAAGAATTATGAAGCAATGGCCTGAAGTTGAAGACACACTTTGAAATAACAAGACAAAGTGAAAAGTGCTACACAGCAGCTGAAATACTATATGGAATGTACAGTGATGAAAAAGAATTTGTCATTCATTCTAATTTTATAACCTATTCTAATGGAAGTGCAAAAAGGTTAATAAACTGTTCGAATCTAAAACTTGTTGATAAAGTTAAATTATTTGATGATCTCACCTTGCTATTTCACTCCGTAAAGACTGGTGTTTGCCAACTTCTAAAGCTGATTTGCTCACAGTTGCACTATAGAGAGCTATATGGCTCCTAAGCCACACCTTGGATATTAAATCGAATCAAAAATTGATTATTTAAAAACAAAAAGGACTGTTAACAGAGAATGAAGAGAATAACTTAAGAAAATGCTGTCAAGATTTCCTTATCTCATTATTGAAGCAGAGACTTTCCTGAAAAAAAAATCTAGATGTTTGAAAAATATTTGGCACTTTTTTCTGTGAGCAACATACTTCAGCCATAAAGGACATACCTAATATTTGTCAAGTTATGAAATTTTTAGGGGGCTACTGATAATAGTGTCGCGGAAGTAGAATATCAGTTAACCAAAATAAAGTTAGCTGAATGGACAAACCAAACAGAAACTAAAGCGTTTTGGAGTGAAGTGAGACAATTTAAAGATGCCTCATCAAACAGTCCATTCTGTAAGCTCTTTAAAGTGCCATGTCTACCATGATACTACCCCACTCAAATGCTGACGTAGAAAGAGTTTTCAGTGCTAGGAATTATATCAAATCTAACCTAAAAAACAGGATGCAATTTGACCTCTTAAATTCTATCGTGCCATTAAAATTCGGCCTGATGAGACTACTGTTCTACTTATAAAGAAATTTGAACAGCTAAAGCATACCAGGGTCATTTTGGATCTGAAGCTTCAACTTCATTATCCAAGCTAAGTTTATCCTGTGGATCTTGTGAGGCAGACATCAATGAAGGTGAGGACATGATTATGTAGTGTAAGTCATAACAAAAGCTATGTAATTTTTGACTTTTTCAATTTGAATGTTTTTTCTAGATCTTTTCCACGCAGATTTAGATCTTTTTAGATATTTTTTGACACCGTTTTGGATATTTTTTGTCAAAGAAAAGTGGCAACACTGCTGAGCAGACGGAATGTTGTTACGATTACCAAACAGCAGGCCGGGCCACCAACATGTTTGAAATCACCCAAGCATTCTCTAACAACTTTATCTCAACATGGTGAGCCACTTTTCTTGATCCCTCACTAAGTTATTTTTATGAAAATTGCTAGTAAGTGAGCTGATTCCACGTCCCCTGAGTGTGTGTGTGACCTGGAGAATAGAAATGAATGTCGGTGGTTCATTCATTCAAGTTCCTTATGTTTTTTTTTATTTGCATACAGTTGTGATTGTAGGTTCACTGACTTTCCTCGGCGCTTTTCGTTTTTATTCCAGGCGCTCTTATTTTTCTCCGCTTTATTTGTCTTTCTTCTTGAGATATATGAATATAATAAATATTTAGCAGTAGTTGTTTATATATTAGTTTTCATTCGTGTCCTGTTATTTGCCTACAGTTGTACTGTACGTGAACTACACTACTAGCTCTCCTCTGAGTTTTTTTTTGGGGGGGCCGGCTTTCTAAACCCTTAACATAAGTTTTGTTTTCTTTTCGTTTTTTTCAATAGTTATTGGTGTATGATGTACTGTATGAGGTGGTTTCCCTATGTTTATCCTTATTTGTTTTTATGTCACATTCATTCAAGTCCTTTTATTTGCATACAGTTGTAGGTTCACGGGCTCTCCACTCTCCGTTTTTTTTTTTTGTGTGGATTTTTTATGACTGTGAAGAATGTCTTCTTTTCTTTGTATATTAATTATTCAATTATAAAAAAAAAAAAAGGTTTATGTTTATGTTCTTAGTATATGTTTTTACTTTATATTTATTTTATAATATTCATTCATATCCTTGTATGAGAATAAGGGACCGTTATTCGGAAGAGTGCCAATTACTGCATTTTATTTATATCCATTCTTTCATCTTTTTTTTTTGTCCACTGGCGGAAATATCTGGCTGTTCATCCACTTCTGAATTTTTATCTTTTTCTAAAATGTTGGTTCCTTGCCCACCAGGTAGATGCACTGACTGAAAGAAGCTGCCCTAATTAAGGTAAAGGTAAAGTCGGGAGATGTGAACCAGTGTAATTACACACGATTATAAACCATAAGTGCTCTGCCACCAGTACAGATAAGAAACTGTCCGCCTGTGACGCCGTCCACATGCAACTCCGTAGCTACAGCGACGTTCCTCCATTTACCCCAGAGTATTAACTCTGGTACCCATTACCTAGAGGCTGGGTGAACCCCGTAATTAAGCACCTTTTATGAAATGCTTGTTAGAGAGGCAATGTTTTGTTCGGGGGGGGGGGGGGGGGGGGGGGTTGAACCCACACAGGGAAGACTTAAAATAGGAAGTGTGTTGAAATTCGTGCTCTGATGATTCAGAAGTATTCATTGTGGTTTACAATAAATGTATATTTATTATCAAAACAGAAGCATTTGCTAGGATGACAGCCAGCAGTCGCAGTTCCCAGAAGCCATGAAGGCATCAAATTCTCCCAACCTGTGTCCAACACTGGCAGCATCCCAGCAACGCTATACATTTACTCACTCCCAGCAGCAGCAACTGTCACATCAACAGCAGCATCAGGTCTTGCAGGTGTCGAGGCACCATCAGGTTCTGCAGCCGAGCCGTGTCAGGCAGCAGCAACAGCTGGGTTCCTCCTGGTCACAGCTACAGCAGCAGCATACACAGGGCAAGGAGATTGGGGACAGGCATTATGAGTTCTTGTCTCACATTGGATCTGGTAAGACATCCTGTTTATTTTATTAAAATCCTACTGTGTTTTCGGGCACCCATTGTGGGGAAAACAAGAATAGACCCACTGCCTCCCCAGCAAGCATGTCATAAGAGTTGACTAATTGGAGATATCCTTCGAAGTCAGAATGAGCCTGAGAGGCAAGGAATCAAGTCTGCATAAAAATAAAGTCAGTTCTGCAAAACAGATGTACACACAACACTCTGGAACAAGTGTAAAGTCCAGAAGTGGTTGAACAACCAGAACTTTCCGCTAGAGTTTACAACAGGAGAACACAAAGAAAATCAAGGTTTTATTTAAAAAAACAGGACTGGTTCCGGGACTTGACTCTTTCTGGACAAATGGCCCTTTCGGTGGCTCCGAAATCGTTCACGTTTAAGCAACCATGGTCAGGCTGCAAGAAGAGAAAGTAGGTTAAACGGTGATCGCCAAACAAGAACATTACATGGGTAGCCCCAAAAAAAAAAAGAAAAATAAACCGACACAGAACTGGTGTCATCAGTCGCTACACGCTGCGTGATTTACTGAGGAGGGAATCCGCGCACTGATGAACTGAGTGGTTCGGCATGCATTGAGGATAATCTGTCAACTAACTAACTATCTATCTATCATACATCGTCCAGGATTAGGGCATACAGTGATCAAGACTTATCTACACACTCTACATGTTTCTAGAAACAGGTTTCCGACCAGGAGCCCGGCAATATACATAGGATCAGTGCTTCATTAGATGGTTGAGAGGCAAGGAACCAACAATATGTACACAAAGAAGTCAGATCTGTCGTATGGATGTTCACACAAAAGTGGAATCTTGGGACAAGACTGAAGTCCAGAATTGGAAGTATAGTCAGGACTTTCTGTCTGCGAAGAAGAACGAAAAAGAAGAATCAGCCTGAGATGTAATCACAAAAGTCTTATGTCTATCTTACTTTAATCACCAACAGGAGCATACGGGCAAGTGTTCAAAGCTCGGGACACCAGCAGAGATGGGGCTGTGGTTGCAGTTAAACAGATTCGCATCTGCAGACAAGGGCGCAACTTTGAAGCAGGGATGCCCATGTCTGCCATCAGAGAAATATCACTCTTGAAGCAGCTGGAAAATCGGGAGCATCCCAACATTGTCAGGTGCGTTGCATTTTGGAATCTATGGTGGCTTTGTCATTGTGATCTTGTCCATGGTGGCTTTGTCACTAGGGCACCATTTTATAGTATTCATTTTAGAGTTTGAGCGAATATCATGGAATGCCAGAAAAACACACAATTCATCCCTCCTCAAGAATGATGAAAACCAAAAACTGAAAAGAGGAAAAATAGATACAGACAGTCAGTGTCTTTCACACCCTCATCTTCTTCGCGTTTACAGGCCGAAAACTCTAGGAGAGATATAAATACCTGGATAAGGCAAGGCAAGAACACTGATCGGATCTGTGATTCTGGTGATAGTGTGAGATGGAGAAATACGACTGCCTATGCTTATCGACATGATGTCTGAGTTTGAATTCTTATTCATCATCGTGTGTCATGCAGGGTAGCACAAGTGTTGCTGTTGTTTCCTTATGATCCTTTCTGTATTCTTCGTATTCTTTATAGTATTCTTAGATTATGAGTTGGGTTTTTACAGCACTCTGGACACATCCGTAGGTGCTCAGATTTTCCCTCTGAACATATAGATCAGTGCTCTGTAGATAATAGTGCCAGTCCTTTGCTGGAAGACTTCTCTGACTTTTGGTGTGCCTCTTGTGCCTGGCACTGTCAATATTTACTCCCAACTCTTGCATTCTTAGCAGCAAAATGGGCGCATTGCTCCTTAAAGTTCTCAGATTGTCCTCTCTCTGTTGGCATCATCCATAGACTGGCCATGTGCAACTATGGCAGATTCATGCAATCTTAGGTTAAAAGGTTAAGGTTTAAAGTCAAGAAGATCGACTTCATTGCACCAAGTTTAATCCAATATGGCTCTACCGAGAGCATCGCACAGTGCACGAACTCCATAGCTTTCCCCCTTTCTTTATGCCTGATGGGCTGCAACCCTCTTTCCCCATTTCTCTGTCCACTTGTGTCTCTACCTCTTTGTCACTTTCTTTCTGTGGTTTTCTGTTCCTTTTCTCTATTGCTGTCATACTCTTTCCCTTCTTGTCCCTTTCTCTCTTTCTCCCTTCTTGTCGCTCTCTCTTTCTCCCTTGTCTCTCTCTCTTTCTCCCTTCTTGTCTCTCTCTCTTTCCCCCTTCTTGTCTCTCTCTCTTTCTCCCTTCTTGTCTCTCTCTCTCTATGTATGTGTGTGTATGTATGAATGTATGTGTGTGTATGTATGAATGTATGTGTGTATGCATGTTCGTATGTATGTTGATGTATGTGTGTACTGGGTGCCTATGTGTTTGTGTGTGAGTGATTGGGCTTGTGTGTGTATGTGGGTGTGTGTGTTCGTGCATGAGCGTGCGCACATATTTTACCACCCATGCTTTTGTTTTTGACTTCATATCCATAATATGCATATCATTACATGAATATAACATGCTTCATTGATGAATGTAAGACAGGCCTGCGTGCCTAATTTGTAACCCTTTGAAAATAAAGTTTGTTCGTTCATTCGTTCTCTAACCATGTTTTTTTTAAATGCCACTGTTGTTATATTAGATGTCTTTTCTAAAAATCATTGTTATGAGTATTATGAATTTGCTGGTATATAAATGAAAGATTTCTGTGACTTGTATAGCACAGCTAGTTTGGTCACTTGAAAACATGATTATTGTTGACAGACTCCTGGACGTCCATCACCAGACCCTGTCTGCCCAAGACATTTGTCTGTCTCTGGTCTTCGAGTTCATCGACCAGGATTTAAACACTTACCTGGAAAGATGTCCGCCACCTGGCCTGGGACCCGACAGAATACGTGTAAGTACTGCACACCCCTGTGTCGGCTCTGGGGCCTCATGTTGTGTGTGTGGGGGGGGGGGGTCGTCCATCCAGGCATGTAGTAAAAGTTGACTAATTTGGAGTGTATCCTTCAAAGTCGGAGTGTGTCTGCTGATAGGCAAGGAACCAACAGTCTGCATATAAATAAGTCGGATCTGTAAAACAGATGTACATGCAAAACTTAAGTTCTTAAAAAAGACCAAAGTCGAAAAGTGCATGAACAACTTGAACTTTGCACCAGGGTTTGCAGCCAGTTAACACTAAGAAGAAGAAGGAGAGTACTGGACTAGTTGTGTTCTTATTGTTAACATTCATTGGCTGTAAACTTCAACAGGAAGTTCTGTCGTTCTTACACTTCTGGACTTAAATCTTGCTCCAGAACTTAAGTTTTGCGTGCACATCCGTTATATAGATCTGACTTACTTGTATGCAGACTATTGGTTCTTTGCCTATCGGGCAGATGCACTCCGACTTTGAAAAAAAACACCCCTAACTAGTCACCTCCTGCCACATGCTTGTTGAGATGGCTGTGTGTATATTATTATTTTTTTTTCCTTACAAGGGTCCCGAAACTACACAGGGAGCTTACTGTGTTCATCTTGTTTCTCATCAGGGGTTAGATCCCTTGCCATCTTTAGAGGAAACTGCACTTATGTCTGTTACCGTTGCTTTGCTCAACAACACAATTTTTACAAATAGTCATGTTTAACTAGCATCTCTGAAGGAGGAACTTTAGGTTATGATTGTGACTAGGTAATTTGTGCCATACAAAATGGCTTAGCATTACTCGCCACCAAGTAGCACTGAAAAGCACTCTTGCAGTGTTGGTTTCCATCAAAGAAGACAGACCCAAATACTGTCCCGACCGGCGACAAAGTCGTCTACCAGCCAGCCAATGAGTGGCCCGGTCACCAATAAATCCCCTTTAAACTCTCATAAAATCTTTATAACCATGAAAGTAACAAGCTTCCAAAAATGTCAGATGGGTTGGCCAGAAGGAGCAAATATGGTAGCTTTGTCCTAATCAGACACTATACTGTTAAGTCCTTAAACCAGTGGCTTTCAACCCTTTATCAGGGTTTGCCCTTCTTAAATATCTGGCAAGACCTTCAGCCCCCTCACTTTAAAAAAAAAGTTTTATAATTCTGATGAGTACAAGAGCATCCTTTTTTTTTGGTTGTTTTATAAATAGTGTTAAAAGTTAAGTTACTTATAATTTGCTCAAATTTTTTTCAAACAGATTATTACAAGTACAATTAAACTAAGTTTTTACAATACAAATTGACCCCCCCCCCCCCCCCCCCCCCCCCCCCCCCCCCCCCCCCCCCACACACACACACACACACCCTCAACAAGACTCTATCTTGAAACTTCATTGCACCCCCAGGATAAACATTACAGCCTTAGACAAGCAGAGAAGAGAAAAGAAAGTCAAAGTTTCTCTTTCACTTTTTTTCTGTATCCTTCAGGACTTGGTGATTCAGATGGTTAGCGGCGTTGACTTCCTTCACAGCAACCGCATCGTGCACAGAGACCTCAAGCCGCAGAACATCCTGGTCACGCAGGATGGGATACTGAAGCTGGCTGACTTTGGCCTTGCCAGAGTGTACGCTGTAGATATGAAATTGACGAGCGTGGTAAGTGTTTTGAATATTTTATTTTGCTCAGCATGTTCTTTGCATCTAATGTGCTGAATGTTACTTGTTATCCTTGGAGACATCCTAGCACATCTGTCCAAACCACTCATGCTCCGTCCTCTGATGCAGCAGTGTCTCAGTGCTCAACATCTGTCTGGACCACTCGTGCTCCAACCTCTGATGCAGCAGTGTCTCAGTGCTCAACATCTGTCTGGACCACTCATGCTCCGTCCTCCCATGCAGCAGTGTCTCAATGCTCAACATCTGTCTGGACCACTCGTGCTCCGTCCTCTGATGCAGCAGTGTCTCAGTGCTCAACATCTGTGTGGACCACTCGTGCTCCGTCCTCTGATGCAGCAGTGTCTCAGTGCTCAACATCTGCCTGGACCACTCGTGCTCCGTCCTTCCATGCAGCAGTGTCTCAATGTTCAACATCTGTCTGGACCACTCGTGCTCCGTCCTCTGATGCAGCAGTGTCTCAATGCTCAACATCTGTCTGGACCACTCGTGCTCCGTCCTCCCATGCAGCAGTGTCTCAATGTTCAACATCTGTGTGGACCACTCGTGCTCCGTCCTCTGATGCAGCAGTGTCTCAATGCTCAACATCTGTCTGGACCACTCGTGCTCCGTCCTTCCATGCAGCAGTGTCTCAATGTTCAACATCTGTGTGGACCACTCGTGCTCCGTCCTCTGATGCAGCAGTGTCTCAATGCTCAACATCTGTCTGGACCACTCGTGCTCCGTCCTCTGATGCAGCAGTGTCTCAGTGCTCAACATCTGTCTGGACCACTCGTGCTCCGTCCTCTGATGCAGCAGTGTCTCAGTGCTCAACATCTGTCTGGACCACTCGTGCTCCGTCCTCCCATGCAGCAGTGTCTCAATGCTCAACATCTGTCCGACCCACTCGTCAGACTGTCTGCTCTATCATTTTCTTTGTCTCTGTGTTTGTAGCCAGGATAGTTTTTTTCAGACAGGACTTCTGGGTGCTGTCAACCCATTGTAGTCCTAGTTTGGATCTTTGTAAGCATGCTCATTTTTACTGTCGGTACCTAATGTTGCTTAACAACATGTGGAATGATGCAACTTAATGAAAACTACATCAAAGGACATGTCTGTTTAGAGACTGGAGTCCACCCCTGTTAAGAATATCAATTCAGGCTGAAAGAATGTATATGCATCACTTCTTCTGTTGTCATCTCACTGATGCCAGGTTGTAGCCCAGTGTGGTGGTTTTGTGAGTTTGTCTTGCACTCCTCGGGTGGCTTGAGGGATAACTAATTTTCCATATTGTTTATCTTTGTTAATAATTGTGCAATACAATTTTATCATCAGTATATTAGAATTTTTTTTTAAAACAGAGCTGCCTTATTTCTTTCTGCGTTTTCACATCACCGGTTGTAAATGGCAGAACATTCTGATTGTTCATCCATCTCTGGAATTAGGACTTGTTACTGAACCTGTTGCTTGAACATCCGTTTTAGATATCTGACTTTGTATGCAAACTGTTGGTTCCCTGCCTCTCAGGTAGATGCACTCTGACTTCAAAGTAAACTCCCAGTTAGTCGACTCTTGTGGCATGCTTGTTGGGGCGTCAGTGGGTCTGTTTTTGTTTTGCCCACAATGGGGCCCTGGAACCCACAGGGAAAACTTGGCTTATTTGTGTACAGACTGTTGGTTCTCTGTCTCTCTAGCAAACACATTCTGACTTTGAAGAAAAAACCCTTAACTAGTTGACTTTTATTAAAAGTTTGTTAGAGGGCAGCAGTGGTTCTGTTTCAAGGAAACGAGCATGCAGACAATCTTGCTAACACTTCGGTTGCTATGACTGGCCCTGTACTGGACAGAAGTGATGTTATCAATACCATGCGCTGCACTTACCGTACTGAGGAGCACGTCAACGGACATGACTCTGTATCCCTGTCTAGACTGATGGACATAGGAGTGCAGCCTGGAGCTGCAAGACATGAACATTTCACTAAGGGGACAAGACGTTTCATTAACCAACACAGAACAGGAGTCATCAGTCGTTTTACACTTGTGGGGCTTTTGAGGAGGAGATCGGAGCACCTATGGATCTGTCAGGAGTGCTGTGATAATAATCCTTTCTAACCACTAATCAATTGTGGTTCTGTGTCTCCCCCCCCCCCCCCCCCCCCCCTTTCCCATGCATCATCAGAACACACACAGGGATCTCAGGCGAATGATAAATAAAGCACCGGGGAATCTGCAGTGGTTCAGTGTGTATTATGCTTCACTACTTCGCCTTTCATTTTGATATAATGTTCATTCTTGTGTCTCTGGCCTCTCACAGGTGGTCACTCTGTGGTACAGAGCGCCAGAAGTCTTGCTGACTGGTCAGTATGCCACCTCTGTTGATATGTGGAGTTGTGGGTGTATATTTGCCGAATTGTTTTTACGACGACCCCTCTTCAAGGGCAACTCCGAAGGAGACCAGTTAAAAAAGATTTTTGAGTGAGTGGGCATTTTTTTTTTAAAGTTGTATGTTGTATATCGGTAGGCAACAGATTAAATGGTTTGGCCATGTAACAGGATTGGTACTATAAGGGCACCACAGAGTCTGTTACATATACAACGGTATCAACCAGAGGCCGACCACGCAGAAGATGGATGGCAGAAATATCAGACACCTGATATACTATATATATATATAGAGTGAACAGAAGGACCTGTTGCAGAGATCTATTCCCGCCCTGACGCTGCAAGACATTCCAGGAGTAGAAAAAAAGAAGATTGTTTATCTTTGTTAACAATTGAGTGAGACAATTTTATCATTTTGTGTCATTTTTTTTTATCCAATCCTTTTTGTTATTTGGTGATTATTACCTGCTTAAAAAAAGTCCCTGTGGCAAACTAATTAAGCTGTTTGCCTTGAGCTCTAAAAGTCATGTATTCATTTCACAAACTTTGTCATTTGGTTCGTGAGTGCAGTTTTTACAGAGAATCCTCGGGAACTTCACTGGAGCCATAGAGTGTGTGCTTTGTGAGACTACTAATGGACCCAGAATATCATGGAGACACGTTCTACAAAGGACTTTGTGGGTTCCGGTTCCCCACTTGGAGGTTGAAAAGGGGGGGGGTGGGGTTTAGACCCACTGCCTCCCCAAAAGTGTGTCGTAAAAGGCAAAAATAATTCAGGATTTTCCCATCTACCATAGAGGGAAGGGACCTACAGTCTGCACACAAGTAAGCCTCATATGCAAAATGGATTTGCACACAAAATTCAAGTACAAGACTGAAATCCAGATGTGGATGAACAACCAGAAATTTCCGCTGAAGTTTACAGACCATTATCGCTAAGAAGAAGAAGATACAAGTGACCTGTTATGTGTTGATGGCTGAAAGAGCGAATGCATTTTCAAGCATTCTCAAATTTTTTTTTTTTTTCAATTCTTGTTTTTTAATATTTTCTCTAGAGTGATTGGCCTGCCAGACTTGCCTTCATGGCCAGAGACATCGGTCCTCATGTGGGGCTCATTCAGAGCAGCGGTTCCTCCTCCTCTTGATCATTTGATTCCAGAGATTGACCACAGAGCTAAAGATCTGTTACAGGTAGTCAGGAGTTCAGTTTGAACATGTGCCGTTCTTCACACTCACTGGCTGTAAACTCTGGTGGAAAGCTCTAGTTGTTTGTCCATTTCTAAACTTTAGTCTTGTCCTAGGACTTGAGTTTTGCATGCATATTTGTTTCACAGATCTGGTTTATTTCTAAGCAGACTGTTGGTTTCTTGCCTCAGACAGATGCATCCTAACTTTGAAGGAAGCCCGGCTCTCTAGCGGAATTGGCTAAACCGGATTTCGCGGAGACCGGGTGACGTACTCCTTGTGGTCCGGGTTCAATCCCGGGGGTAGGCAGGAAAGCCACATTTTCTCCCAGATTTACGGTATTTACAATGGAATCAAGGCCGAAGGGTTGCGATGTCCATAGTACCGAGCCTAAGGGTTAAGAACTCATGGCTTCTGGATACTAAAACAAACAAACTTTGAAGGAAACACCCCTAATCAGTCGACTTTTACAACATGCTTGTTAGTGGGGCATTGGGTGTATTCTTTTCTTTGCCCACAATGGGACCTCATAACTTACTGGAATCATAATTGATGACAATAAAGATGGTGCTAGAACTGGGCACAACCTGAGAAGAAGTTAGCAGAGAATCACAAAACAGGTGCTGAAATGAGAAACACGAAGATTGAGGTAATAGGTGAGTCAAATAGATGCCCTAAAATGAATATTGGCGAGAGAGACCACAGTAACCAGCGGGAAACTGGATGGGACAACAAACGAGGTAAAGGCAAAAGACGTATTGATGAGCCTACTCTCCTCGAGTATGATCACAGTCTACCCTTGCAAAACAAGGTGCTGAAGTCGGAGGCAACCAGCCAAGAGGCGCACCACAGCAATCAGGATGCCACGCATACATGCCATGGAAATATGGCGAACGAAAGAAGAAGAAGAGACCACAGTTGCTGACTGGATTCCATCTAAAGCAGAGGTTCTCAACCTTCCTAATGCGTGACCCTTTAATACAGTTCCTCATGTTGTGGTGACTCGCAACCATAACATTAATTATCATCGCTACTTCATAACAGGAATGGATGTGTTTTTCAATGGTCTTAGGTGACCCTTGTGAAAAGGTATTTAGACGGCCAAAGGGGTCTTGACCTACACGATAGAGTATGATGGAAAAAAACGAGTGCGAGTACTTTGTGATGTATAATGGCATAAGAGGGAGAGGATTGATGATTTTGTTGTTACTGTACATGTTTGTGTTTTCCTCTTCTCCTTTCTCCTCCTCTTGTGTCTTGTCTTCTTGTTATTGTTGCTGGATACTAGCTCTAAATAAGGAAGATTTTCTTCTCTTGTGTGCTCTAATTTTTTTGTCAGCTTCTCATACTTTATCAGCACTCCTCTATTCTCTAAACATCTTTGAATTCTGTTGAATTAAATGTTCCATAGAGCAAATAGAATTATAAAACATTCTGTAGAACAAACATAATTGCAAAATTTTCTATAGAACAACTAGAATTGCAAAAGATTTTGTAGAACATGTAAACATTTCACAATTTTCCAAAGAACAAGTAGCATTGCTAAACTTGCTTTAGAACAGGGCAATTCAACTTGTAGCCCGCACACCGTCTGGTCGAAAGCCTATCAAGTGGCTCACTGATCATTGCCAGTTGTATTGAATTAATAATAATCTTTCTATGCTGGGAGCTCGGACTTTTGTTCCTTGATCCGCTTTCTAAAAATGTTGGCCCATGAGTGAACTTAGGGGAATAGCCGTGCTGTGAAACAAGTAGAATTGTTAATCTACTTATAGCTCTTTTCCTTTCTGTTCCAGAAAATGCTGATCTTCAACCCGGAGCACAGAATCAACGCAAGAAGTGCTCTGCGTCATATCTACTTCCGAGATGACCTGGATAGTATAGGCACCTCACGTTCCCTGTCACCGTCTGAGAGCAATGAATGCCTGGAAATGACTGTTAGCAATTAGGATAACTCGTACTGTAAGCCATAGATCCAACAGCTCATTAATGTTACTCTGAGATTATCTGGACAATAAACGCACCCCAAGTTTACTGTCACTGTCAGAAAGCGATTACTTCTCCAGTGGACACTTGGACACACCTGTTAGCTAATTGGATACCATGTATATTATTTGGAGATGGAACAATTGTGGGTAAAAGTAACGTTGATCTCCCCACACCCCGCCCAAATACACACTAGCTCACTTCTGATTTGTAGTTCCTGAACCTGTCACCTTGGCACAAGGTTATGGGGGTGTTCCACAATGCCGTTTATATCACGTGTTGTATATTTCAGCACGCCAGCGCTTTTAACACTCCAAAAACATGGAGAACCTGGTCCTGACACAACCCCACCTAGAGAGTGCTGCAAACTGTGTCCCACGCATTCTCTTTCTCTGAAAGAAAATGTAAATGCAAGACATCACAGAAAGCAAGCAACAGAGCGGGACACATCTGTAACTTTCAGGAAATTTGATCAGTCCAACAAACTTAATGAAAATGGACCTACTCTTTTTGGGGAGATTAACGTGAACCTAACCCAGCTATGTATAGTTCATTAATTTTACTCTTGAGATTATGTGGACAATAAATGCACCTCAAGTTCCCTGGCATCGTCAGAGAGCGACTACTTCTTCAATGGATGCTTGGACACACCTGTTAGCTAATTAGATGACATGTATATTATTTGGAGATGGAACAACAATGTATAGTTCATTAATTTTACTGAGATCATCTGGACAATGTATGCACCTCAAATTCCCTTTCATTGTCAGAGAGCGATTGCGTCACCAGTGGCTGTACAAATAGGATAATTTGTTCTGTCAGCTGTTGAACCAAGAATAATGCAGACAGTAAGGTGGATAAATGAGTTTGGGGCCGTCACCGTGACGATGGGGCACACGTTAAAAATTTCGCCTAAAGAAACCCCAGCTTGGCACATAAATTTGTTATACAATCCCGTAAATACAGCGTAACCAATGTTTCTCTAGTGGCATGTCTCCAAGAAGTCTAGTTATCAGCACTTTGGTTTCTTGTGCACCTGTGCTGTGTTTAAGAGGACTGGGCATGATTATATTTATTCCCTTGTGGGTTCCGGGGTCCTATTATAGGGAAAACAAGAATAGACCCAATGCCCACCCACAAGCATGTCGTAAAAGGCGACTAATTAGGGCTTCCTTCGAAGTGGGAGTGCATCTGCCTGAGAGGCAAGGAACTAACAGTCTGCACACAAATGGGTCAGACATGTAAAACTGATGCACATGCAACACTTAGGTTCTGGAACAGGACTGCAGTCCAAAAGTGGATGAACAACCAGAACTTCCTGCCAGAGTTTACAGCTGGTGAACGCAAACAAATCAGAAGAAGATTATATTCACTAAAAGTAACAAATGAAAGAAGGGTCTTAGCCTGAACAATTAAATTTTGTTAAAGCCATAATGACATCATAAATTGTCTTTAGCCTTAGTTATGAAGTCATGTGATTAAAGTCACCAATACATGTTAAGGACTAAGGTCACCAATACATGTTAAGGACTAAGGTCACCAATACATGTTAAGGACTAAGGTCACCAATACATGTTAAGGACTAAGGTCACCAATACATGTTAAGGACTAAGGTCACCAATACATGTTAAGGACTAAGGTCACCAATACATGTTAAGGACTAAGGTCACCAATACATGTTAAGGACTAAGGTCACCAATACATGTTAAGGACTAAGGTCACCAATACATGTTAAGGACTAAGAGAATTAATCCGTTTCATTATTCACTTGGTCTATGCGTATTGATTTGTCCCCTTTATATTTTCCTGAAAAAACTAGGATGACTGCAAGGAGATTTGAGCCCACATCCTGGTGTAAAGCACCAGGTGGTAATTTACTTCTGCGTCCTAATTCTTGTTAACTAAGTTACTCTATTTCAGTTTTTCCATGGGCGTTAATTCCAGGGGAATTATTCCTAAAGTTAATGTTTGGAATTATTCCTAAAGTTGTGTGCTGTTATGCATGTTATATACTCAGTTTTGCAAACTAGCTTTGATCTGAAATGACAAACGTGAATAATGTGCAAAATATTATTCAATTCTCATGTATAAATTTGGTTCGTTTGTAATTACGTTTGTATAGACCAAGTTATATTGTTGTTGTTTTTGTTTTTAACTTCAAAACCAAATCTTAGAATCATCAGTTTGTTTCATATTTATGGCCTCCATTTCCGCAGTTACAGTTAGATCATACTGTGGTATGTTGTTGTTCTTCTTCTTAATGTTTACTGGCTGTAAACTCCTGCTAAATGTTCTGGTTGTTTGTTCACTTCTGGACTTTGGCTTAGAGGTTAGTGAAATAGTTTCACAGTGCAGTCCTCAACGTTTCCTAGGGGTTTGATTCCCACAGTGGGCGGTTAAGATCAAGCCTATTTTCGTAGCTTTTAAACAGTGGTGCGAGAATCGCACCTTGGAAAAGACTGGGCTCTCACTATGTAATATTAAAACAGTTAGCAGTGGATATATTACAGCCATCTTCCATTTTTGTTTTAACATGTCATAGTTCTAACATTTTCATGCTGCTATCTCTGTGTAACTGATTGGTGCATTTTGCCAACTGTTTAGTCCAATCAGAAACATTGTTATATCCTTCAGCTCACAGCCGTCCAATGGGCACATTCCATTTTGTAGCTCTACAGCATTGTTTCTAAGTTGTTGTTTTTTTAATGGGAAAAAATCTGATTTATCGTCTTTTTTAAAAATCTTGATTGATGGGACCAATTGTTCTGTTTTTAACAATGTTGTAGAATTTGCTGTTTGTTTTGTGCTGTAGCAAAAACCTAGTAAATGATTGTAATCATTCCACTGTAGATATTCACTTCATTGTAACATCCATTAGCACTGCGCCAAAGTTAGCCCATATTTTCACCTAATTACATTTTCACAGCTGGTGTTTATAATTTTACATGCCTACTCCAAACAGGTCAACATGATGCACTACCTTTCACTCAACTACGAAAGAGATCTCAGTTACTTAGATTTTATTGTAGAATACACAGAATGTGGAGATAACAAACCAACTGTAAACATCTACAGATCCCCATCAACAGACTCAGCAGAAAGCAACATAAAAAATTTTCTGTCTATGTAAAGGACACCTCAGGCTCAACTACCACATGCATAGAATGAAGACTGTACAGTTCCCGCAGGGTGCAAATCAGACAGTACCCTTGCACGAGATGTCTGGATTATATTGACACACAGAAGGGAATGGTCCAGTCATCTAGGGAGAATGCAACCAGACCAAAATGCATATGATAATTTTTATGACAGATCATCTGGGAGTAAGGCGAGAGGTAGACCAAGAAATATCGATGAATGGTGTAGCAAAAAAAGATGGACAAATCCATCATGCAATTTACCCACTAAGCGCAAGAGAAATACAGAAAACCACAATACAGGGCTGCAACCTGATCCCAGTGAACCGACAAAACCATGACACTGAACTTTTTAATATCATTGTCGAGCGTGTAATTAGCTCTTTCACTCCTGAATCCTAGAAAACAAAGGGTGGGGGGGGGGGGGGCGTTAAGCTTTCTTCCTTGGAATAACTTGTTTTCAGCTCAAAATATTATGGTCACATTACTTGTGTGTCAGTTGTGCAATCTCTGTTAAAATTGTAACACTTCTGGCTGTTCAATTATCCCCCTTTGTTCTTTTTTTTTATCTGCTTCAGTGTAGCCCTGTTTAACAGATTGTTGATAATTTTAATGGTTGAATCATTCTTCCTGTGTGTTTATTTGTATCAGTTTTTTTTCCCTCTTTGATAACGTTACTAATTTTAGCTGTTGAATTATATCTCCCTGTGTTTGTTTTTGTTTCCCTTTATTCCGCTTTGATAAGGTGTTAGGGGGCTGCGTGGTCTTGAGGCATGGTGTCCGCCTCAAGTGCTGGAGGTTCTGGGTTCAATCCCCGCTGGAGCTGGTATTTTTTCACGTGGACTTGGACTTCTAGTTATCCCCCCCCCCCTCTCTGGGTAGTGAGATAGGACGCCCGTGTGCATTGTTGCGCACGTAACAAATCCCTTGGCAATTAGAAATCGAAAAGAATATTCTAATGGCACTGTTCGGGCAAAATTTGGAGTTTAAAATGTACCCAAAGTATTTCAGGATACTCGCCGGTGCTACAGAGCCTGTGCATTGTGCTCAGCTTTTTCAGACTCAGACTTGCGTTAGAAGAATAGACCCACTGCCTACCTAAAAGCATGTCTCAAGAGTCGACTAATTGGGAGCTTCCTTCGAAGTCGGAGTGCACCTGCCTTAGAGGCAAGGAATCAACAGTGCATGCATATGAGTCATATTTGTAAAATTGATGCACATGCAGTACTGAGTTTCTGGAAAAAAGATTACTTTTAGCACATAGAAATATAGACCTTAGTTTATTTTCAATACTTATTACCCACCCCTAACATTGCAGTGGGCAATCTGTAAAAAAAAAATATAATCACACTATATTTCTTGCTGTAACTGTTATTCATATTGTTTCATATAAACATGTGCCTTTTTAAGTATCGGTGTTTGGTTTTGTATTGTGTTTTATTTTCCTAAACGTTGTTCTATCTAGTAGTCGTTTGATGTTGCTGGTTCAATGTTTGCAAGAGTCTGTCCTATATGTATTCAATATTCCTTGTGTAGTAGCAATCATTGGAGTCAGCGTCTGTGGCTTAGGCGTTGTGAAAACGCTTTGTAATGCCGATTTCGATCCCTGCTGCTGATTTGTCTTGCGCTGGTTTCATCAGTGGTACTGAAAACTGACAGTTCAGAAAGCAATGGAAAACTACTGAACGTTAAATTTGCCTAGAAAAACCGGAAGAGCTAAAAAATGGCTGGGGTTGGTTCTGCAACGTCCTGTAAAAGGATACGCAATCCATAATACACCACTACCGGCTTGCTAAGCCCGTCGCGTGGCGGAGGAAGACAAAATC